TGTGTGTGTGTGTGTGTGTGTGCTCAGTGAACTGCAGGACAGAAAACAGCTCGGCTCAGTCTGAACTCACTCAGGTTCCAGGAATCTGTTTCCCAGAAAGGTTTTGTGTGACAGCGCCCGCAGTGACACTCTGCAGCTCTGAGTTAACACACACACTGTCTGCACACACCACTTCCTGTAGGCTTTTCAAAACAAGACGCACTACACTTCATCTCAGAACATCTTAGACCTGTGACAAATGATTTTAAAAGTTTAAAAAAATACCCCTATTCTTTGTTTTTAGAGCTTCTCGGGCCAGGACCTTTGCTGTGAAAGCATTTATATTCTATGTAAATTCCATTTGCAGCTCCACCTATAGCCTTCCTTAAAAATCTGGAGACTCTGAAGTGTTCTAGTTATTTATATTTTGCCAATTTTGAGGTAATTGCATGGTGAAATGAAAACAATCGGAACATTTTGAAGTGATCCTGGAGTTAAAGAAATACGACTTGCAGTAACCGTTTCTGTTGTCAAAAAACAGCATGACACATAATAAGTGTTTTAGATTATAAAAAATACACATGATTGTCTTAAAGCCTGTATTATGTCATTTTTTTATTACTTATTCCATAATATCTTAATACTTACTGTGTGTATACAAAATATTCATTCAATACTTGTGCACTGTCACCTGCATGGGAAATGTAAACAAGTGAAAGAGTGCACTCGTTTATATCTTACAGAAGCAGTTATGTCAAAGTCTTGTATCTTTGTTTGTTGTTGATTTGTTATATGAATCTATTTACTTCACCATTTGCAAGCTACAATAGACTGGAGTCCAATTCCTTCTATGCATAAACATGTGGAATATAGATGATTGTTTTTCATTTTACAGTCAATTCATTAGGTCTCTGTAAAAAGAGCACCAAAGCCTCTGCAAGCTGCTTTACCACTTTAATTGTGCAGAGTTGAATTTCACCGATTGCAGAACTTGAATGTAATCTTAATATGTAATCTCTTCCATCACCTGTTGTTCTTTCCAGTGACAGTTTTGAACCTTTTATGCTGAAAGAGAACAGCATAACTTCTTCAGGTTAGAGACGTCGTCTTGATGCAGCTGCTGGCACTAACTTGTGTAATGCTGCATTCACGTTCAGTGAAGTGGAAATACAGTTTTACAACAATACACTGTATGTGTGTATGATACAATATCACTTATATGATTTAAAAATTGCAACCACAGGATTGCTGACCTTCTGACTGTCTTTTTTTAGCTGACACACATTTGCTGCATATCACACAGAAATCCATTCATTCATCCATTCATTCTCTCCAGGATCCACAGTTTGTTCTCAACACAAACTTCTCAGCCTGTGGAGAAAACTACATTGGTGAAGCAAATGGCTGTTTTTTTTCTCTCCTCTCTTTTTGTTTTCCAGGAAAACAACTGAACTGTGCCATGTCAGACACCAGTATGTCTTCAAAAAGTCAAGGTTCACGATCGCCCACCCACGCCACAGTTCCCATGTACAGAGATAATGACCACATGAAAACTGACTTTCAGTACTGTGCTGGGTTTCCAGGAAAAATAAAAAAGTTCACATCAACCGTCTTTCCCGTGAGCAATGAGAGCAGCAGAATGCACAGCTGAATGCTTCTGGGTAGAGAGGCTTCCTGGAAAACACACACAACAAATTGACCTCTACTGCTGAGCCGTGATCCCTGATGCTGCTGCTGCTGCTGCTGGCCTGCAGAGAATATATAGGACTATAGAACAACACACATGTACATGCACAGTGAGAGAGTAACAAGGTCACAAACACGAGGAAATAAAGAAAATATTTTATTGTGGCTCCATGTAAAACAACAGCCGTCACCTGAATGCAGTTAAATCTTGACTGTGTGACTGCAGGCAACTGTAAAATATGTGATTTGGATAGATTTTCCTGATGTGAAGAGTGAACCTCTGCACCAATGCAATGTAACGAACAATCCACCTTAAAACAGACGTTTCATAGCCATCTAATGATCTTTAGGAACTGTATAAATACAAGAGATCAAAAAAAGAAAGGCTAATGAGCCCCACAGTGGAGAGCAGATGGGGGATGTGGTCGACACCTTTGAGAGAAATTGGCAAACGTAAATAAATCCAGGAAATAAAAAGTATATTTATCCTTAAATAGACTGACGCACACACAGCAAGACGGTTTCTACTTTTATTTCTGGTTCTTTGGAGTTTGCACGTTCTCCTGGTATCTGTATGGGTTTCCTCTGGGTACTTCGGCTTCCTCCCACAGAGGTTAGGTTAGGTTAGGTTGGGGTTAGGTTAAATGGGGACTCTAGAGACATTTCTTTTTAAGACAGTTAAAAAAAATGTGTTTTTTCCAGCAGAGGCTTGATGCATTTTGATCGTTTTATTTTATAGCAGTGGAAGGCGCCCTTACCTTTGCAATCACTGTCTTGTTTTTGAATGTGTCAGCAGAGGAGAGAAGATTGAACAAGATGTTTCAAAGTGCACTCGAGCAAAACTACAAGGCCAGACTACAAAGAAAAGAACTGCTTCCTCCTAGATAACAACCTTTAGAACTGTCTCCCTTCTCATAATAGATAGCTAGTGTCTTATCTATAAATCTTTTACATTGATGTGGTTAGTTGAACATTGGTTTTAGGATTTATTATTCTTTTTATTATTCTTAAAAAGAATGAAATAATAATTGGTTCCAGCTCCCCCAGAACTCTCAAAGGATAAGTTGCATAGATAATGGATAGATGGATTTCAAAAAGATTTGGCTTCACAGCAGTAGTTTTATGTGGCTGATTCACCAGAAGACTAACATGACTACAGATTTTTATCTGACAGCTGCTGCACCTTCCTAGTAGCACCTTCATCATGACTTTGTTTCCACATAAACTGGTATTCAAGCTAATCACCCTCCATCACACTCAACGTTGACTTCTCACTCAGTTTTGACAAAGCAGCTCCTGGAATTTAATATCTTGGCTTTAATTTCACAAAAATATTCACATTTTCACATTTCTGCATCATGGTGGATCTATGTTTGTGTTCGCTGCGTGTCCTTGAGTAAAAATAAAGAAGGAATGGCTAGAAATTAAACAAAAAATAACAAGTCAATTCATACATATTGTGTATCGGTTTTCTTCTTGTGTACTTATTTATACGTGTGTGTAAAGCATCTAACTTTCTTCGCCGTTCTCCCCCGCACCCTTGATGAGGCGTTTGTTGCCCCTCTTGCCTCCTGGTCCACGCGGCTTGGCAAAGGCCTGCTTTAAGGTGTGCTCCATCGGGTGCACTTCCTCGTACAGGAAGTCTTCTGTCAGGCCATCGCCACTGTCTATCTCCATCTATACACACACACACACACACACACACACACACACACACACACACACACACACAAACATTGTTTCACAAGTCCTTCAGCTGATGAATCATGGAAGCTTTGGTCGTTACACAATGAGTGAGTGATGGTGCACCTTTTTGGTGACCTCCAGCTGGTAGTCTCTCTCCACCTCGTCCAGTAGCCTGTTCTTACAGCTGGAGTACAACATCCTCTCCTTGATACTGCAGGTGTAGCCAGGCATCGAATATATGAACACTGAAGGAGTGCATGAAGTGGTCAGTTGATATTTGTTGCTTCACTGGATCAGTTAGAACCGAGTCTGCTGATAAAGCTCTTTGGACAAAGACACAGGAACCCGGTGCGGTTGGCAGCATTTAGCTTGAACCAACTGTGGTTATTTTGAAACCACTGAGTATCTGCACATGTTTAATGTCATAAAAACTAAACAGAGCTGCAGTTAATTATTTTTATGACTTGGGAGCAGTGGAAAAAGCTGAAAACACAACAGTGGTCCATCTAACCTGATAAAGTTGTTATGGCTGACACATTAGCAAACAGTTTTTACACACCCTGCCGATGACAAACAACATTAACATTCATTTGGACTTTCAAGCTGCCTCGCTCTGCTGTTACACTCATTCTGAAGAATTAAGTCTAAAATACAAGTGAAGATAAAAAATAGAAGTGTAAGTGTATTGTAAATAGAATAAAATGTGTGTATACTAAGTAATGAAGGACAAGTGCCTATTAGTATACATCAATAGGAATGAGAGCAAGATAAACAAAGTTACTGTGACTTGTCAAATCTGGTTGAGAGTGTGTACTGACCCAGCGCCTCCTGCAGCTGACCCTGGTGGGAATGTTTGAAGATGAAGAAGTGGTATCTGGGTGAATCTGTGGGGATCCTGTAGGGAAGATCGTGGGTCTCTGTGGGTTTGGTGTGAACCAGCTCGATGGTCTCTTTCTCTACATCCAGCCTCTGAGACACAATGCACACAAACAAGCTCTGGGGTCAAGTAATGCACACTTGATTTTGCTGTGGGGCTTCTTACATGTTGCATGCTGTTCAGTTTAATTGTGATAAAGGATGTTTTTAGCCTGAGCTCACCAGTTGTATGTAGTTGATGCGTTTCTGCTTGAGTTGCTGCAGAGCTCGTTTGGCCTCTTCTTGTAACGGGAATGCAAGGCCCTGAAGAGCCTGTGCCCTTTTATCTAAGCCAAACTCCATCGTAACCTGGACAATAAAACAAACACAATTAAAATAACATGACTGCTTGAGCAGGAAATTAATGTGCATGAAGAAGACAAAGCAAACCTTGGCTCGTGCGGTTGGAGTCCCGGTTCGTCTACGTTCATCCTGTGGACATAAGAGACAGTTTTAAAAACCTTACTCCTCTTTCTTTACAAATATTTGTATTAGGAGGAAAATCTACATACCCATACAACTTTATCCTACAAGAGGAAATGTGGAAGGAAACAGGATTAATACAGACGATACGGCATAGATAACATACTTATTATCCATATTCTGACATCTGATATTGTCTTAACTCTACCTCTGTGACTTTAATTTGTTGCAGTTCCTGCTCGGCAGCTGTGAGAGGAGCTGGGGAGGAGCAGGACGACATGTGACGCAGGTATCCCTGGAAGCACAGGTCCTCCTGCAAACACACAGACCCCAGGACAACAGGGGGCTGAGGTACTTCGTCTTTTAATGAAGATTCATGGACGAGTTGTCAAACCTGAAAGCTTTCACTGACCTCGACTGTGCCAAACATTTCATCTTGGATATGACCTCCTCCGAACTCTTTCTTCAATGTGGCACGGGTCGCTGCATACATCATCTTTTGTCTCACCTGGAGGATGGCACAGCAGACAGGAGGACCGAATGAACTCCAGACATGCTTATTATGTAATTAACACTTATCACACTTGAAACCACTAATCAGCCATGACAGGTATCAACATCTCCTTAACTTACTGCTGATTGGTCAGGTGACCAGGCGATGAAGACCCACTGGTATCCCTGTGCATTCTGGGAGTCCAGACGATAGAGGATGTAGCAGGGCTCCCGAGGCGTGAGCAGAGGCAGCAGGCACTGGTCGTAGTCTTTGTCCCAGCTGTGTGCAGGCTCTCTGAATGAATCTAGCACCAACTCCTCTGCAGACAGAAAACATGTATCAGTAAACTCACCTCAGGATTCAGAATGAGTAACTACAGTCTTAATGATGTCACATGTATCCTAGTATGAGTAAATATTTCATGTTTACCATTTCGGATGACGATCTTCATGATTCTGATGGCACCTCCCTTCGCTCGGGCCAGAAACTCTCTCAGCTCAGATGTTGCTGAAGTAACCAGATATAAGGCAGACAAGTCAAAACTGAGGATGGGGGGGTTGAAGCAAGTGAGACAGAGTTAGGTAAGTAAGAACCTGAGACTCCACTTCAGGGAGAACATTTGATCCACTGCCAGGGAGTCACGCTATCACCTTCAGTGACTCAGACAGACCCGCAAATGTGCGATATGACCAGAGAAATGTGAGTTTTACTGATGAAACTTCCTCATCATCCCCTGGTTTCTGACTGTGAAAGGGAAGTTTGATGCTGAAAAATAGATTTAACGATTTGTTTAACACCCCCCCCCTCCTCTCTCACCATGGTTACCAAACACAGCTGTCTCATAAATGATGTAAGATCAGGTGAGGAAGGAGAGAGAGAGGTATGCTTCCGCCAACCTGTCCCCCTACGCTCCGATTACCAAATGCAATAACACACATCTATATACGTTGCTCTTTAAATATCCATAAATGCCTTGAAGTGTTAAATATCACAATTACTGACATCACAACACTGATCATAGACAGGTGACCTGAGAATTGTGATGTCATAGACATGTGACTTTTACAGCCCACATTTATTTATATTAACAGCATTTAAATGAAAAATCTGAGAATATCATGAGTGAGACAATGAATGCTACAACTCAGAGGTAAAAAAAGAAAATTAATTTAAAAAAGCAATTAATCTGAACTTAGAATTAATTTAGGTCCAATTAATTAACAGAGTTGTATTTTCAAATAATTTCCCTTTTGCTTACCGTTAATTCCAGTTTGGTGGGACATCTTGTGGCAGTCACCTCTACACACTCCTCTTGTGCATCAAGGACCAGGTCCAGGTCTGTGTGTCCTCTCTCCTCGGCTCTGCTCGGCAGGTAGGCTGCCTCTCCACTGGTGGCAGACAGATGGACCCACGCACACCAGTGACATTAACGCCTGGAGGGTGACTCGGGAGATTCCTAACACTTGAAATACAATCTGCGGAACCGTGGCTGATGAGTAATAACGTGCTGTCAGTGGATATGCCACCCTAACCGCTGATCTAAAACTCTTTGCGTATCAATGACTGCAACTTTGAAGAGTCTCGGTGGGGGGGCCTCTCCCAGGTCACATACCGTCCTGTACTGTGGTGTGAGGGGCCCTTCGAGCTGTGGACAAATCCACTGCTCGTGACATCAGCGCAGTGTTTTCAGATAGTGGCACACACGTAATGACATTTTATCAGCAGCAGATACAACTGCATGTTCTCAAATTCCAGCCAGAGAAATGTGACACCACTAAATTCAACAGTGTTACCTGGACCGAGAGCGGTATTAATGCTCAGGACCTGTCGAGCATGTAGACAGAAAGTGTTACTATTGACAGCTGATGAAGAGGAGAGATGAGGTGGACAGCTCAAGCAACACATGCACTGTCAAAATATGAGAATGTACATTTTAGCAGTCACACACTGTTCATCTGAAAGTGTGAGAGAAAAGCTGCAGATGTGAACACAGGAGGAGAGGGCTCCTAAATGTCGGGACAAATAAATCCATCACTGACACACTGACAAAGTCACTGAGATACACACACAAGTTTGTGTTTCAGGACTTTGCATTGACTTCTATTCATTGTGGAGGCCTAAACAAAACCTCATCCCTAACATTAACCTTGACCCACTCATGCCTAACCACAATTCACACCTTACCACTAACCTCAACCAGGACCTCAGGAATGACACTTTGGCTCATTAGGTCCAAGTTGTGGTCCCCATGAGGTCCACTGGTCTTGGATAAGGCCACAAGGTCAGTGTTTATAATGCAAAAGGTACAAACACGAGTGAATGAGTGTGAAAAGTTAAATAGTTATCTAGAATCTTAAAGACAAGTGATTCAACTAGCACAAGCCCCCCCCCCCCACCTCCCACACACACACACACACAGAGGTTGGTGAGAGAAAGATAAGTGTGCACCTGTGAGGTTACCTGTGATGGGATCATCCATTATTCACTCTGTGGTGAGTACACAACCCAAGCATCTATACATTATTCAGCAGAGCACCCCCCCCCCCCCACCGCTGCAGGAAGACACACTATGTGTTCAAATAAATAAAAAAAAGAAAACACCCATTCATCAAAATGATCAACGATGCCTGTTTCCCTCTCACACTTGCATGTGTGTTTACAGACTGAGTGAACTTCTGTTTGAGTGAGATTACATGAGCGATGTGTTGTTGTTGTGGAAGCAGCGATATACTGATCTCATAGAACAGAATCAGTCATTAGCAGATTATTGATAATAACAGTCACCATTAACTGCAGCTATATAACTGTGTATCAAGAATTCAGGTAAAACCTCATATTTTTTAATTTCTAAAACAAGCTATCACTGTTATCAAAATTTTAAATAAAAACACTGAACATTTTTTACATTATACAGGACACGCCAAGATAAAGGGTTAAAACATTCAAATTTTTATTCTATAAAAAACAATAATAAACTTTTTACAGGAAACAGTAGCACCATTGTTTAAAATACTGTAAAATACTGATGGTAAAATGTTTAACATTAAAATATTTTCTGGTATGTCTCCAACATACTATTACACCACAGTGTTCTTATTGTGACAAAATACACATGATGGTATTCCTGCTTCACCGCATGATGGCAATGTGTTACACCCTCTATAAGTCGTCAGTGCATGGAAGCCAAAAGTTCTGTTGAAAGAACAAGAGGAGAAAATATAAACGATCGCACCGTTCATCACTGTTTATTCAGCAGTAGCTTATTTAGTGCATTTGATCGTCTCACCATGTTCGTGCAGGCGCTGGCAAACGTCATGTATCTGGGGTTAAACTGCAGCGTGTTGATGGGTCCTGGATGTTTCCCATCCAGCACGGCCACCTTCATCCCGCTCTCAGTGCTCCAAACGTGAACTCTCCCGTCCTCTGAGCCTGCACAGCAAGACGTGGTTAAACAAGATCAAGGAAGAGATCTCACAGGAGGGTCGACCAAACATTAAGTGTCGGAATGTTAGCTCACCGATCATGACAAACTGTGAGTCTGGAGTGAAGCAAGCCTCCAGGGAGATGCCTCTACTGTTGTTGTAGCCCTTTAAATGAGCAGAGGCAGAGAAGTCCTCAACCACATACAAGTAACTGTAAACAGGTGAAATTCAATAGTTGTGTGGCTGAGTGATAAAGTGGCTGTGTCTCTTACAGAAAAATTGTGCAGCACAGATCCACTGAATGCATTGAGGACACGAATCATCCCTCCGTTTGTCGAGATGAGAATCTGTTTCCCATCGTTACTGAACTTCAGTCCTGTCCAGTCACAGGTGCGATTAAACCTCGTCTCAAAGGAAGCGAATGGACCCTTTCAACAGGGAGATAAAAAGTGTTCAGGACACAATATAATACAGCAGCAGTACAAAAAGGCTCACACGCCCAAAAAACATAAAACATGAACACAATGGATTTGTATTTCACCTTGTCGAAAGCACGAAGGTCGTAAAGTTTAATGGCCTGTGATTCCACCCCTGCAGCAAATATCAGCCCATCAGGGTCGAAGGAACAAACAGGTTTGCCCAGTGGATTAGTCAAACCCTGAAAGACAGACACACAAATATCTAGAACGGTGCTCGGTAGAGCGCATACCTCCGCCCAACAGTCCCATTAAATGTAATCAAGCTACACCAAGTTATACACACGCATACATATCAGTTACTTAAATGTGCCTGATCAAGACATATGAATGCTTCCCGGGGAAAATGGTATAATGGTGTAATCTTGCTCACAAAAAAACAAAAAACTAACAAACTGACTGGGGTGGAAACAAAACCTCTGTATACAGAGACAAAGTGAGAAGTAACAACAGACACAATAATACCTCCATATTTAAGCCACATTCATTTTTGACTTGTGTTTGTGTCATACACTTTACATATTAATGTCCACCCCTTCCATTTAGTCATTGTTTATAGAATTTAATTGACTATAACTGCTGTATTTTGGTCCAGTTTACCATCTTAGAGGACAGGTCCATATTCCTAAAGCAGCTCTGGGGACACCCAGTGGTCACAGGACAAATTAATATAAAGAGGATTTGCATGCTGTTGACATAAAGCACTCTGATGTGCAGTCACTTCTAAAGTCCTGCTTTAAAGCACCAATAGCTAGAGCAGAGGGTTCACAGAACACTCACCTGACAGTTTGGAGAGCGCAGGTCCCAGATCCGGATCGTCTTATCCAGTGAGCCGGAGATAAAAGTTTCATCCACTGGAGACATGGAGAGAGCAATAACCCTGAAACCAATATGTGGTAAACAATCATTTTAGATGCAGTTTAGTGTAACAAGGAAAAGAACAGATAACATGAAGTGTAAGTTAATGGCACCTGTGGAGAACTGGGTAACTAGTTGCTATGTCAGAGGCCAACATGTTCACGCTGATCAGGATTATATTTTACGATTAGATCTCTTTTTATGTCTATGTAAAACATTCAAGTGTAATGTGAAGATATACTTGTGACCTTATTAGTATCAGATGTGGATAATTGATAGATTAGAAGATGTACTTAATTTATAAACGTAGAGTTTGTGATCATTTATATATTTATATTACACAATATTAGAATATGATGTTTGATCTGGTTAGGACCTCTAGACCTTAAATACTATCCAGTATACACTGCAGGAGAACAAAAAGGTTTGCAGGTCTTCTGTTGGTATTTGTCAACCCATCACATGACATCACAAGGGTCAAGCATACTTTATGCTTATTTAGCCTCTTATTATGTAGTGGTCCAGGTGGTCACATACACTCACCTTGCAGTGTGTCCGGGGAAATAGCGGATGTACTTGTTGTCACTCAGAGACAGGTATCGTATGGTATCTGCACGACACAAAACATCTTTATTCACCAAAACTCAAACATGGTCTGGGTAAAAGTCAGGGGATGGGGGTGCTTTTCAACATTTCCGTTGATTTCTCAGAGAATAGGTCGTGGATCTTGTTGAAAAACCCCAAATCTGACATGTTTATGGGACTGATGTTTATGAGTGCTGTTAGGCCTCGGCACTGTGTGACATCTAGTTACCATCTAGTTTGTTGGAGCTGTAGACCACTGTCTGTGTATCTCCATGTGTGTAGCGGATGAGGTCCACTCCATACTTCTTGCTGAACAGAGTACGTTTGGGTCTGAAAAAGAGAAAATACAATATTGATTTCAGTCAGTTCATAATGAGTGCTGTGTCTGAAACACACAGTTCACATAGAACTGTGAAGCCCGGTTTAAAAAAGAGCAGAATAAAAGAGGTACATAGATTAAAATGGGGAAAAGACATGACATGTTTTAAAAACAAGATGAAGTGGCAAATCCATACAAATAAAACAGATAGAAATGTGTAAAATAAATAGATAAAAACAATGATGGTGTGAGGTTTTGTTTTTATAGTATAATATATTATATGTATGCTGTGGACTTACTTCCCCTCCTGGATGTCATACAGCACGATGCAGTCGTCGTCGCTGCTGGATATCGCGTGTTGTCCACTCGGGCTGAAGTCCACACAGTTGACCTTCTGAGAGTTCTCTCTGTAGGTCCGGGCCACTCGGAAGCTCCGCAACACACCGTCCGAGATCTTCATGTCTGCTGCGGACCAGAACAACAAACCCACCCGGTACAACACGACCACGGCTCTGTGGTCTCTGGTCTACTGGAGCCTGGCAGTCATTTCTGCTGATTGTCTGCTTCTGTCCTCACGGAGCCACGAGACGAGTTCAGTGCTCATGTTTCCATTCAAACAATCAAATCCAGCCATGTTTCATTGTGTAAACAACTAGCGGCCATGTTGTTCCTGACCGGACTGACGACGACGCACTCGCTTTGTATCTCGGCGTCCACCGAGTGGGCGGTGTTTCACGTTCACTACCATAGTCAATGGGTTGAACGGGTAGAGAGGAAGCTGCGTAGGAAACGAGCATACCTGCAGGCGCCACTCGGAAGTACTTCACTGCCGAGCAGCACGTGTTTCCTGTTTGTGCTCTCCTCTGAGTTAGTGTCACACTGACACTGATCCACCATGAACAGCTGTAGAAGAGTAGCGCGGACCGGCGACTGGAGCCCCGGAGTGAAAACTCTCCTGACTCGGTTCAGAACGCGGACAAGCTGCCGCCAGGACCCGTCGTCCCTCAGCCGGGGCCAAGCCACCGCCGCGGAGGAGAAGCCTCGCCTGACAGCCGCTGACCTGGCCCGGAAGGTCCAGCAGGAGAGGAGGACGCCGCCGCAGGCCGCCGAGGCTCCGGTGTCCGCTCAGCAGAAGAGGGTGGAGGAGCTGAAGCGATTCAGTCTGCAGCTTCAGAACGTCCATCCCAACGTGCTGGCCAAACACCTGCACCGGAGCGTGCTGTACCGGGATAAAGACGTAGTGGTCATCAGTAAACCACATGGAGTCCCTTTCAGAGGTAAACAAACCAGCAGCCTGGTCAGTCACTGATTACTTCAAGGACAAGATTGACTTATTGCCATCTGCCAGGACACTGTTCCTATATATGAGAAGCTGCCTGATAGTATTGAGCATGCTTTAGTCCTGCTGCAGCATTGAAGATGTATATCATGACAGTTTCAGTTGTTGAAGTATAGATTTAAAAAAAAAAGTGGAATCTCAAGCTGAAGCTGGATGAAAACATGTGCTGCTGTCTCTCAGATGACTCCAGGGTCACGTCCATTTCCTCTGTGCTTCCTGTCCTCTCCAAAATGATGGACGGGATGAAGGTGAAGTCTGACTCTCAGCTGCTCCCCTGTCTGGGCCTGGAGAAGGAGATGACAGGAGTTATCCTACTGGCCAGGAATGAAGAGGCAGTAGAGCACATACTCAGTCTGCACAGAAACAACCAATTGAAAAGAAAATACTGGTAATATATAAATAAATTACATTTTTTTTCCTCAAGGACTAACTAAACTTAACTCCCGATAATGTCTTGACATTTTCCAATGGGGCTGTACGTGAGAACGCAAATATCCAAGTGAGAGGCTCCAGACATTCTCTGGAGTTCATGTCTGGAAACGGCTGAAGAGATTCAAGGTCCCGCCGGCCACACTTCACATTCTCTGTTCACTGATCTCCCTCAGGGTCATCACAGTGGGTGTTCCTGTGCCGTCTGAAGGACTGATTGATATTCCCATCATAGAGCGAGGTGTCACAGGCCCTCGGCCACACTACAAGGTGCCTCTTCTGTACTTTACATGCTGTAGCAAGTATTTGTCATTAAATAAAATCACTACTCATTTCTGTTGTCAGCTCCACAAAGTGCAAACATGCTGTGGCTCTAGCTTCACAAATGCAGACAGCAGATTTCTTTCCTTTGTCTCAGGCTATCAACGAATACCTTTTTTGCTTGTGGTCATTATGAGTTGTTAATCCATATTGTTAATTTGCAGTTAGTTTGAGTAAGTTTCTGCTTAATCATTGATTAAAACTCTATTTAATTTTAGTGTTCTTGCAGAAATATTCAGTTTAAGGTGCATGATTTCTTCATTCTCATGTTTTTTTTAAATTTCAGATGGCATTAAGTCCTCTTTTCAAAATGAATGATGCAGGTGATGGTTTAACCAAAGTGCGAGCTCATCGACAAGCTCATCCTGCCGTGACCAAGTACAGAGTCCTGGACAGCAGCAGTGGCTGCAGCCTCGTGGAGCTTCAGCCTTTCACCGGTAAGAAGATTGTTCTTAAATTACTAACAATCTATTTTTTTGTCAGTTTTTTAAATTTCATTTTTTCTTGTCCACAGGAGTGAAACACCAGATGAGGGTTCACATGGCCTTGGCTATGGCGTGTCCCATTATTGGTGACCATAAATATTCCCACTTGGATAAACTGGCACCCCAGGTACAGTGTGTTTCTAATATAGCAGAGAGAACAGGGGGACACTGACATATGCACATAAAGTATCAACATTATCAACATCGATGAACTGCCACCATGCCACTCGTTTTAGTGGCAGATGCAGATTTTAAGTTTGTCACATCATTTCACTTGTGCTGCACGGACAGACACAGTTCTCTACTACTGGCATATGGCAACCCACATTCCTACAAGGCCTAGTTTTTTTCAGTTTCTAAATATCTAAATAATACACTTTTGGTCCACAGAAATTACCGGAACGTGTTTTGGGAAAACTTGGCCTGGAACAGAGCAAGATCCGGCATCTTCCTCTCCATTTGCATGCTCGACAGCTGACACTGCCACAAGTTAGTCAAGCAGACATCGACGTGTCCTGTCCGCTGCCTAAATACTTCACACAAACACTGAAACGACTGCATTTGAGTCTTCCCGACAAAAAGGACGATGAATAACCAGATCCTTGCTTTTGTGTTAAATTCTGTTCAATCCAAACAATGTCTGCAAATAGTGGGCATCAGTTGTGAAGGATTTCAGCCTGAAAAAGTGTGTAACCATTTAAATTAAATGGAAATGACTGCATTACCTCTGCCAAGGAGGTTTTCATCTGTTTCTTTATTTTTAGCAGGATTATACAAAAACTACAAAACCCATTTCCTCCAAACATGGTGTGGGGATGATTCTTTGGAAGAAGTAACATTTTGGTGCTCTATATTATTTGACAATTAATGTTCACAATTTCCTTTTATTTTTCTACTATGAGAACCAGACAATGTGTACGGTTGATTGGCCTTGGCGGAGGTATGTGTTCCATTGTCATGCTAGTGTAAAGCTGAGTAAATGACTGTACAGTGCTACACAACTCATTTTTAGTAATAAACAAATGAAGCAAAATTGTATTACTACTTTTTTCAATGTAGTACAACTACAATTACGTGTCATTTCCTTGGAGGTATCACGAGAATGCTATGTCATTTTTAAAAGGCCCATTGCGAATCCTTGTTTCAAACATCAGTTGCATGTCCAGACTAGTGAGTGCCAGATTCTTTTCATTGTCAGACTGCATGACATGACTCTTCATCCAAGGATTAATAGTGCATGAGCTAAACAAAGATGTTTCCACCTGCATATCCTGTTTAATAACCTACTATACACACATACATACAGGAGTAAGTTGGCAAAAACAATTCTTGACGGGTGTTCTTTAATGGATAGCTTTGACCTGAGAAAAATGTTTCCGCTCACATGACTGCACTACAGCACTTGACCATGTGGATTTCTGAGGGTCCGCTTGTATTATCCACAAGCACAAATTACTTCTTTGTTTTTTTAAAGAAAAAACAGGCACAAGTTTTTCAGTTTTTAACATCAATACAAGATTCAATATGCAATCAGTATAGAAAAAAAAAAAGCAACCATGAGCAGTGGCCCCTGTAACTGTCCTTTAAGATGTAATGTATCATAGTGGGACATTGAGAAGTAAGACATTAACTGTCTGTGAGGTTAAGAAGTGGAGGGAGAAATATCTTCATATATTCAGAAGATTTGACTTTTACAGGAAAAATTAACACCCCTGCTCAGCTGAGACAGCAGCAATCCAACAAACTGATCAGTGTTCCCGCAGCGGTGAGAATAAAGCCGTGGCTTACATTGGTGATCAAGAGAAAGAGCAGTCCACCCAATCAGCTGAAAGCAGAAAACGTAAGGAGAGAAATTCTCGAGTGTACACTCCTCAGAAGAAAAATGATTGTTTCAGAAGTTGATCCATTTTATTTGAGATGGTCAGTGAAGTTTATAGTCAGGACAGCTACTGCATAGTCAACAATCAGTGACTGTGGAACGAGTCCCCATCAGTCCAGTCAGTCCGCTCAGTTTAGCCCAGGTTCTCTGCACCAATAATCTCCTGGATCTCTCGGACCACGATGATACGAGCCAGTATGTGTTCCACTTGCTGATTTGTGAGTGGCTGCGATGAGTACCACATTGGGCTGTTGGGTGCAACGACAGGTTCTGGAGTCATGTAGTACGCATCATTGCGTCCTTTAATGCTCTGAGGACTGGAAAAGGGAAAATAAGGGAGATTTTAAAAATATTTTGTTGCCTTCATATCGAAAAATAATCCAGCTAAGCATGATTTTTGTGATTTAATGTTACTCACCATTTGAAGAGGTAAAAGTCATAAAGTTTAATGGGACAGCGAAGTGGATTATCCGGATCTTCAATCTGTTCTTCGTACATGTCGTCAGTTCCTGAAACAGATGTCACAATATAATCAGCGTCAGCAGTTTCTGCTTCTCAAAGGCAACAATTCCAAGAAAGACTTCGACTGAGGTGAACTGCACCGGGCACCTTTCTGTCCGGCACTGTGTGGACCTTGTCCTTTGAGAAGGCGGATGCTGGTTGCTTTGTCCTTGGCATTAGTGGGGTTCTTCCTCGTGTGTCTGAGGACCTTAGAGAAAGCTACTTTCATGTGCTGTTCAGGCGTCATCAGGCAGAAATACCTGTAACAAAGAAACACGTGTATTTACATCAGAAAAACATGACTGTATCATCATAGAGAGCAGATTGGGGTCATTTATTGGTGGTTACTCACTTTGTATTGAAGTACATTAGGGTAGTGAGGAGTGTGGCTGGTGAATGTGCACCGAGCTGTTTACACTCCCACAGCATCTCCTCTGTTACATGACTTGGAATGATGTAACCTAAGATTAAAATGCAAAAATAAGTAATAGTTTTAAATTGAAAAAACAAAACAAGGGTACATGTTGATTCTTTCTTACCTAATGGGTGGACACTTGGTTTCCAACCATCAAGGATGTTGTGTAAAGACCCACAGAAACGTGTGTAATATGGATCAGAGAAAATATCATCCACACGTCCATTGTCCGAAAGATACTATAAAATGAAGCATATACACATTATGATCTGATTTTTGGAAAGTAAAACAATCTTTATGTTCAAACAGGGTGGTACTAACCTTTTGTATACACAAGAATACATAATACAGAACGTCAGGGGCAAATTCTTCTTCTTCTGATCCACGTGCCTCCTGCGTCATCAGGGAAAGACCCAGGTTTAGCTCGGCTACAGCACTGGACACCAAGTCTTCTTGAAAACGCAGCGGCTGACGACCTGGACACAACCACAGAGAGATGAACACAGGCAGAATTCACTCGCTAATTTCTCAGTTACAAGTAGGACAGTTAAAAGAAGTACTTCATGACCAGCTCATGAATCAGAAAAAATGAAACTGTATTGCTTCTGGTGGTGTTAGTACATATCACGAAATATATCAGCAGTGTTGTCAATGTATGATAAAACTATTGACTTACGTCCTATTGGCGCAAGCCGGGTTTTTTCCTGCTTGCTTAACTCTATGTTTTTTCGTTTTGCCCAAAGGCGCCAGACCTCCAGGCCCTCCTCTGGCTTAAGACAGACAGGAACCAGAATTTCAGTGGGCGGTTCAGCTTCAGCCTCCGTCTGTACTTGACCCTGCACAAAAAAAAGGTTAATGCTTTGTGGGAAAGAGGGCAGCAATGGTATATCACACCTCTAGATAACAGAAGTAGAAATAATCCATGCATAGTTTTTATTTAATGTAATAGTTCCATTATATTAATAGAAAAACCAAGATGTATTAGGAAGGTCTCAAACACTATAAGAGAGTTGAATTAGTAGATTTCCAAAACTGATCCTTCATTTCTGGACTACAAAGATACATATATGCCACAAGTTTGGGTTACTTCTATATTATTTTTTATCCTCCATATTCACTGAGCTTTGGAAAAACATAGTACAAAGCATAGGACAAACTAAATTGCAGGTCTACAGTCTGTCTGTTAGTAAAATTGTATTCTAACCTGCAGATGGAGCTGCTGTTCTTGCCCCTCTTCTCCTTGACTCTGTTGTTGATTTGGGTCCCATATGTGTACCGACTGGGTAGTGTTGTAAGTCCCTCCTACAGCCTGCACTGCCACAAGGTTGTGAATGTTCCCGTTCATGAACTGCGCTGGAAACAGGGTCTGTACTATTTCTTCCTGTGTCCCAGCGGAGGCCAACTGCACATCTGTAGACCTTGAGAGGGAACTGGGGGACATTTTGTCCTTACCGTTGGTGGTGGTAACTTGCACTGTGCTGTACGTTTCCTGTGGTAAAGTAATGTGAGTTACACCCTGCTGTTGTGGTGCAGAGTACACAGGGATGGTCCAGGTCTCACCTGTGGGACCTGTGATTGTCCCTGTGGTGCTGAACAGCTGAGCACTGTCAACAGTGAGCAAATCTGGTCGTAGCGACACATAGCTTTGCTGTTGCCCTTGAGGGATGGCCAGAACAGTAGCCACTTGCTGACCCTGTGGAACAGCATAGGAAACAGCGAGAGGGACATCCACCTTACGTTTCTTGGCAGGTTGGAGAACAGCGGAGGCAGAACCAGACCTCCTGTCTGCCTCCCTAGGAGAGTCCTGTTGATGGGTAGGAGACATGGCCTCTATGGTCTGGATCTGAATCTGTTGGCCATCTTGTAGCTGAATTTGTTGTCCACCTTGCAATTGTATATGTTGGCCTCCTTGTAACTGAATATGTTGACCAGCCTGAAGCTGAATTTGCTGCCCCCCTGGCAGCTGAATATGTTGTGTTCCTTGTAACTGGATTTGTTGTCCTCCGCTTACAGCTGCAACCAGCTGTGCCTGAATCTGTAACAGACAGCATTGTATTAAAAAAACATCACATGGATGCACTTGATATGAGTGACTGATATCAAAACTGCACCTGCTGTTGCTGCTCCTCTGTGAGATCTCCATGCTGGATGAACTGAGCTGTAGAGATTCCCTGCAGGTCCTGCGGAGAGGGCGAGGCCACCTGAAGAACCTGGCTGATGGTTTGGCCCTGCTGTTCCTGGATCTGAACCTGGTATAGAGGGGTAGCAAGAAAAATAAACACACGAGTTAGAAATAATATACTTCACAGTTCACTGACAAATTATGAACAATTCCACGAAGACCATGAATTCATTTAAATGAGTTAAGCTTCAATTATACAAAAACAATTAACAGACAGGGTATCAGCGTAATTTGTCAAATAAACATTCTTCTCCACAGAAAGATAATAAAGTGTGTTAAAGAATCTTATCCTAATAATAATATTTATAAATTTACAGACACACAGGAAAAGATGGTGCAGGAGTTGAGAAACTGAATGACTGATCCTAATTCAATGTGTAGCTACAGACATTTCTCCAAACAGCAAGTAGGGAAGAGGTATGGTTAACCATGAAGTGAATAAATAATAGAGTAGAATAAATAAAAGGAAGTGATTGTGCTTCATGTACTTTGACTGTTCCGTATTATAGTGTATCAGCTATACTGTAAATAGGGGAAAAAAGGATATCTACTATTTTTGTTTTGAATTTGAATCTTGCATCTTTTCTCAACAGTAAGTGGATTCAGGTTTCAGAGCTGGCAAAAAAAACCACCTAACTCAAACTGCAATTAATGTAACAAAGGCTATTAAACATCACACTGCTATTTAATCTGTTTTACTCTACACAGTGAGCAACGACTGCGTTTCTGGGGCCCTCCACTCTGCCCCATCTGGCTTGTAAAGTTGATGAGAAACAGATACTGGCTATAAACCAACCTGCACTTGGAGCTGCTGATCAGACCCCTGGTGCACAGACAGCTGAGGTGAAATCTCTGCAGAAGTCACCTGTACCTATTGTAAAACATATATCTAATAAGTATATATGGGCCGTGTAGCAGATAGATAAACTGTGATAACATGTTCAAAGACGGTAACCATTCTAAGAAAAGGATCTTACCGGGCAAGCCAGCTCTAGGAGCGACCCTGCCACCTCTGTGCTGTCTGTGTAGATGCAGTTGGCGTCCTGCTGCTGGTACACCATGGCTGTGGTGGTGGCGGCACCTTCCTGCTGGTTGAACTCCTGCAGCACCTCAGGGCCTTTGGCAAGACAGTCCAGGAACTCCTTCATCCTGTGCTGGGGAACAGTGCGGGCCTTCTGCCGCACATACTCATCGAAGGACACCACCCCACTGTCCTGCTCATTCATTGTCACTTTGACCTGAGGAGAGAAGAGAATGGATCTGAAAAACACTTGAAATGCTTCAAGTCCCAAACACCACATATCCACAATGAGCTGCAATGAAAGTTTTAATGGAGATCTTTGTGATGAAGAGGAGGCAGCTGTTTACTCTTAGACCTACAATTATATAAGCACAACATAATGAACTTTAAAAGTATCATTTCAATAGCTGCTCATTTAATAGGGTGCGAGGATTGACAAGGGACAAAGTGCATTTTAACTTGTGATACAATGTCTGCTCCGCGTCAACTTCTCAGTAATTTAAACATAAGTCACACAGACAGCACACATACACGCACATGTGTATTATAAGATACTTATTTCCATTATGTGCTTGAACCAGTATCAAAGCACCGATATTATTATCACCAGACATTTTTAGTTCTCGTATAATAACAGCCTCTACGTTAGCTAGTTGTTAGCAGGCTAGCTTCACACTTAGCTAGGCAGTGTTTTGTCACAACACGCGCGAATATTTGCCTCAATAACTGTATTCAAACACCGTCAAATACCAAAGTGACGTTTTATAAATATACACCGTGTATTTATAACACAGTGCGCGTTAACAAACACCGACATAAACAGTCCATTCATTGCAGTTGCACGGGGCTAGCGAGCTAGCTAACCGCGGTGCTACTGCTAGCTCGATGGCTCTGGATCCCGTCATGCTACCTTAAATAAAACGAAATCCTCTTCTTTCCGCCAAGGCACGGTGTTTAAAACTAAAAAGCCGATAAACGTCGAACAGCTACCAGGCAGAGTGCCACTCACCCCGCCACATAGTGCATGTGGCAGCGGTGGAAATCCCCACAAACAATGCTGCGATTAGATAAAATTAAGAAGCGGCGGCAGGCAGGCGAGGTCTCTGACGTCTGCTTGTTTCAGGGGCTGAGCTGAGATCCAGGCTGTGGTGCGTAGAACAAAAAAACACAATAAGTTTCCCAAAGCTCCAGCAGAGCTCGGATTGATTTGTCCAGAGGAATCGCGGGTAGCGTTACTACACCCTGCACCGCCCAAACACACGGACGGCAGCGGGCCCTCGGTGTTTATCCAGCGGGATATTAAACGACGGAAGTAAAGGCCCCGAGATCGACGCGACTCCTCTTCAGACTGATGATGTGCGAGGCGGCGGCCTGTCCTGCTAACATCAGCCCCCTCCAGCCCACTGCACGACCAACACATGTGGATCTCTGCTGCTGACATGATCCACATGAAAACACAACATGTGCACAATTCAACACACATGCTGTGGTGGAGCCTCGTCAGATTTCATAATGTTTCTGTTTGAACGGGCCAGATCATCACCAAAATACCACGAGTACCATAATATCTACACATGTACTTATTATCTATCACATGTCATTGTTTTTATTTACTGAACGATAGATCGATATGTATACAGACATAAAGATAGACAGATATATAGAGACATAGATAGATAGATATTCAAGATGTTTATTGTCATGGACACAGCAGATAATCACAGTTTACAGCATGTAATGAAATATATATATATGTATATATAGATAGATAGACCGATATATAGATATGTAAATAGATAGACAGACAGACCCATAATGCATACATACAGAGAGACAGACAGATGGATAGATAGATAGATAGATAGATATGTAGATAGATAGATATACATACAGACACACAGAAAGATAGAGAGATAAATACATCGATAGATAGAGAGATACATAGATATGTAGATAGACAGATAGATATGTAGATAGATAGATAGATAGATAGATAGACAGATAGATAGATATGTAGAAAGATAGATAGATAGATAAATGGATGGATAGTAAATCTGAATGACAGCATCAAGTGCAGGCTATTCTCAAAATCTAGTCTCCATTTGTGTTTATATTACAGGTCACATTGTCTATGAGGTGTGGATAAAAGTGCTGATAAAATAAAATAAAGGTCTCACTGTTGTCAGACTACCTCCTCTTTATGTTCCTCCATCACTATAATTGTCCATCCATACCAATCACAACACATTTGAAATTGACCACAAAGTGAACCGGGCCTGGCACACATTTGAACGCATGTGCCTTTAACAAGATCTAACCTCCCCAGTCTGCCTTAAAGAGCCAGGCATGTGCCGCTGAGGGCCTCCCCCTGCTCGCTCCACAACAAACTGCCTCTCGCCCATCTTAAGGTGGACCACGACAGATGCACTGTAAGCATGGGCTGTGCCCCTGACACACTGGAGAGGAAAGAGTTAATTCCCACACTCACTGCAGAGGAGCTGAGGTTCTGCTCTCTGGTGGAAATGGTGGTGGTAGTTACACATGTATATTCATGTCTTTTTCAAAACGACATGCCTTTTACATCCCAGTGATATATTGTAATATATATGTATATATATAGATATTTCATATGTTATGCATTCCATATTCTGTTCATTAGCCATGTTATGTTTAGCATCAGACCTTGCAAATACTTTCCAAATTAATAAGACCGTCAGAGTGTACGTGGCTATCTGGCTGCTCAGTGTCACTTCATGTGACTTTGTGGCACTGTAAGAATCTTAATGTAATCCTTTTCAGAAGGGATTTACCTCAACACAACTGCTGTAGAAAGAGGCAGTGAACTGTTATTAACTATTTACCTTTTTAAATCACCTTATGTGAAGACAATAACCTGGTAGATATTTATACAAGCATTTTTTGTGGAAGTGACCCCTGGTATTTAGGCCCCACTCTTTGTGTTTACAGATGACATCATGATGGGAGACTGCCAAGTCACCAGCCGGTGCTGCAACAGGACGTCAGCTTGAAGACTATATAGCTGTGAGCATGTGGGTAAATCCACTCTATTCGGTTCTCACTCTGACGCTCTTCATCTCCTACTCAAGAAATCTGTTGTTACGGACGCTTTTACTGCAGCAAGAGATGGAGTGCAATGCATGAGGCATTAAAAGGAAGCAGGACACAAGGAATCACAGGTATATCTGAATTATCTGGCAATAATGAAGGGGGGGGGGTGAATTAGTTTACAGCCCAAATTGTTTTGGCAACGTGTTTTGGGAATGTTGTGAAATAACTAGACAGTCCACTACAGCCCTCCATGACAAGCTTTTTAATACATTTGCAGTTGTTGATCCACCATTTTAAAAATGTTAATTGAATAATTTCACAGTAAGTCAGGACATGCTGTATTTGTTAATCTTGTGGTTTATATGTTTCGAGCCGAGTAAAAGTAAACAGAAACAGAAACAACATTAATTTATCATCAAAACTCAAGAAAACATTATGCTAAAAATATTATTTTACACGATACTTGAGCTTTATCGTCTCCTATATGATTTTCTATTTATTATTATCTATTTATTTTCTATTTTCAACTGTGGTTAATTGAAGTGGCAGCTTGATGTCTGGGCCCCACTTTGCACAGATAGATCTGATTGGCTTATGCTGTAGTTTTACCAAGCTGTTTTGTCCACAGATGTTGTGGAGTGTGAAGTCCCACAGGATTACTCAAGGGGATTAATGTCCTTTACAAGATTGAACCTCCAGATTCGTAATTTGGGATTCTGTATGACTCCTTTACCTTTACTTAACATCCAAAGTCTCTCTCCTATCAACTTTTTAAAAACTATGTGAAATACCCTGTAGCTCAAAATATGATATAATATTACTTCTTGGTTTTTCTGCAGGTTTTGGGATTTACGTTTCAGTGCCAAAAAATGGAAGGTTCCACTGTGCTCTTCATTATATTAATTGAGTGTCTCTTTTCACTTGGAGGTCTAATTCAAACTTCATATTCACTGGATAACTCTGATTCAGTGCAAATAAATCGAAGCACGGACAGAAACAAAACTACCTTCAGCATGGCCAGTGATTCTGTGGAAGGCAGCAGACATAATGAAGACAGTGCATCACCTCAACTTATCAATAAAACTCACATTCCAGTGGGGCATGAGGGAACCAGTGATAGAAACCATCCTGGACCTGGAATCACTTTAACTAGAGCACAAGAACTTTCACTACACCACTTACGGGCCCAGGACAGAGGAGCTGACAAAGCTAATACTTCAATAACAGCACACGTTCACCCCAGAGTGCAAGTCATCTCAGGGTCAGCTTTCTTGAAGGGCAGTCACATGACAGCTGAGGGACAGTTCAAAGAGACTCTTACATCCATAGGAAAGGATGACTCTCTGGATGGTAAGTGAACATGTGCTCCCCCTGCGATTCTAAAAGGATAAGCGGTATTGATAAAGGATGGATTCATTATTCTGTATCCAAGTCTTTTCTCATTTCTTTCTTCCATTCTCTTCCAGGTGGTGACAGCCTTAAACACCCCGTCCAAACAAATGTCTTTACTTCAGTGACAAATCGCAACCCGCATGAACCTGGAGGTCCCTGTGTGCTCGGTCTTAGGCCTTGTGTTGTTCTTAAAAACCAGAATGGCACCAATCTGCTCTGGGACGACATGAGCCGAACGCTGGCATTCGCCTGGGAACTACATGTCTTTGGATGTGCCAGCCTTTTCATACTGATGGCAGTCCTGGCAGTTTTGGGAATGGCCAGTGCGTGCACCCTCCCTCATTCCCTCTGTCATACCCTGACCCTGGTGAACAGTCTCCTAGTTATGGGTGGTACCTTGCGTGGGGTCCTCCTGCTACTTGATCCTTATGGTACCCATCAGATTCTCTCCCGTGCCACTCTAGCAGCACTCCATAATGTTCCTCTCCAGCTTCTTCTGTGGGCACAGGTTGCCCTCGCCCTGGTTACACTGGAAGGGTTGAAATTATTCTTTTTTCCTCCAAAGCTGCAACGCCCATGGGTCGTTGGAGGGCTGGCTATATCACATTGCACTCCATTACTTGTAGCAGACCTATACTCCTTAACTTTATGCCCTGCTCTCCCTCTGTTGCTGCAGACACTCTCCCTCTGCTGGGGCCTTCCATTCTGCATAGGAATCCTCACCAAGTCTCTCTCTTATCGAGATCCCTTCCTCAGGTCATCTGTGCCTCAGTGGTTTCCTTCTTACAGGATTGACAGGCGAGCAAAGCGGGTAACAGCAGTGTGTGCCTTCTTCGGGGTTCTCTGCTGCAGCCTTCAGATGTATAGTCTCCTCTGGCTTTATGGTTTACTGGGGAACTGGAGGCGCTTTGGCTGGGGCTGGTGGCTTAGTCAGTTTTGGGCGAGAATCCTTGAGTTATCCTGGGGTTTCTCTTTGCTTGTCCTGGGATCCTGGATCTTCTGGATGCCCTCTAATGGACAGTCAAGGGCTGCTCATTGGCCTATCAGATTTGAGATGTCTCAAGGGGTGGAGGAAAAATGCTTGTGGTGTAGTTTCCTGGCCAATGTGCGAAAATGGCCACTGAGAAAATCTGAGACAACCTTGGAAGACTTGATGCCGAATAACTGGGCAAAATATAACCTGTCTAGAGCAAATGTCAGTAATAACATTATGTGCCCGTATGATGACCAGCCATCTAACCTTACAGTAGAATACAAGCCTGATCCAGTTAACAATAGCATCTCAGACCCTCAGCCTGTACTACTGTTGCAAAAAGTAGGGGAACATGAATGTATTCTTTCACTGATAGAATTTGACATGCGGCCCCCGTCTCCTATCAACCTCAGGCGCAGCATTGACAATGCCCTTCACCATGAACAGCTTGTAGCAAGAGGCCTGTTCTCAACACCGACCTCTTGGACTCACACAGAAGCCAATAATGGGGACAAAACAACTTTCCCTCCAACTTATGTTAGATATGGGTGGATGTTGGATCCAGAGTCTTATTGCGTCACTTAATCATTTCCAAGTCAATGATCAAATACTGTCACCCAGTGCTACAGCTGATTACAGTGGAAGCATTGGGTCTCAAACCAGTGTCTATAAGGAAGGAGAGTTTAATTCAGTGCTGTCAGCAACGCTGCATCAGTATGACTGGTCTGATGATGTCACAGACCTCTAAATTTGAAGGTTCAGTGTCTAGATTTAAATAGTTTCTAGTGGTGAAGTTGCAGATTGCTACCAACACCCCTCACCTCATATAGGAGAACCTACGGTGGCCTTCAGGTAACCTAATTTTGTGAAAGGCTATCTCTCGAGCCAGTGTTTGTTTTGTCCGTTCTAAGCTACTGTAGAAACATTGTGGTGCAAGATGGCGGACTCCATGGAAGAGCACCAGCTCCCCATGTGGATATAAAGGCCTCATAAAAAGACATTATCACTCTAGAAAGTAATGCTTCTGCAAGAAATGGACCTTATGCATGCAAAAAGTATTTACTTTTGTTAATCTAATTTGGTCTTGAACTGAAGAATGCTTGGAGTGGTATGCACATGTAACTCTTGATTTCACAAGTTTGGAAAAGATAAGGCTTTGACTTTCTTTGGATCTTCTGATACAATTTTTATACGTTAAATGCTTAAAAACATTTAAATGAATAGAAATGGCAGGAAATACTAGATATTATGACTTTCTAATAATGCGAGATGTATAATGTTTTTTTTGTATATGCCGATGTTATGCAGGACAAAACAGATTCTCATCATATGAGTCAACATCTGTCCTGCATCAGATTTATGTTGTAACTGTTAAAAGTAAGTGTCTCTGGTTATATGTGAAGTTACCACTGCAACATGATTGGAAGTTTTCACTTTGTTGTAAATAAAGCAATGTTTTGAATCATTCAAAGTCACAGTCATTGCTTTTTATAAATCAACTATCTGGAAAAAAGTTACTTTAATCTTAAATGCCTTTTTAGTAGAACTGATCACAGCAAGCATCTTTACGCTTTCAGTTCTGTCTCACCAGAGTACCATTCTGAGGTCAAAGGTCAAATCAAGTTTTGGTTAAAGTAATGAGAATTGATATTTGTAACTTATTTTCTCAAAAACATTTTTTAATATGAACTTACTCTATATGTAGTTACATTAAATATAAATTGAGATTGAGACTCTCAGCCAAGTTAATGTAAAGCAGGATCAGAAAACAGTCGGTTATTGTTACAGAACATGCTGAAATAAAGCTGCTCTTCAGTTTCCCTCTTCTTTCCACTTCTCATTCATGTGTCACATGATGGATCATCACCTGCTTCTCCTCAGCTCCTCAGACCTGGCTGCCTGTGATTGGCTAGTCAATTAAGCAGCACTGAGGAGAAGCCTTTAAGTGTGGCACATCCACACAGTGACAACCTCAGTGTTTAGCTTATCAACAGTTTTACACACAGCACATGTGTAAAGTGCGCTCATTGTCAGAGGTTGGATGCCTTTCAGAAATGATATGCTGCTCTTTGTAGTGACAGCGACTCTAGTGTGTTTAAAAGGTTTTAATGGACAAGCTGTTGATTTAGGAGCTTTGCCTGCGTTACAAGGCAGACTTCACTTCAGGAGTGTGTTGTCTGATGATGGACAACATGGATCTGCGCTCCCAACTCGATACGGATCCCTCACCTTCAAGTTTGATAAAGAGGGGGATCAAAACGTGGCTCCTGGTAAGTTACAGATCATCTGTCTCTGAATGATGCAACTTAAAGAATCTGACTGATGACAAAATGTCTCTTAATGTCAGTAAGGTCTGAAATTTGTTTTTAATTTAAATGGGCTTAAGAAATGTATCAATCATTATATTTTCAAAGACTGTGCTAAATATCCTAACATCTATATACTGTAGTGCATCTTTTCATACTATAAATCTTATGGGTGTTGAATTTTGATTTGGACTTGAAGGGAGAGAAAAATCCCTCATACATCAAACAAGTTAGCTGTGTGAAATTTGCCAGATTCTGTTTAAAACAGTACAAATGAACATTCTCAAATGTATCACATTTTTACTGGGAATGGACAATGTACAGTCAGCTACTATCTCCAACCCACAGCTGCAGAGTTGGCAGATGAAACCTGAATACCAAAACAACTTTGCATGGATCCTAATATGAGAATATGTTTTTGGAAGCTTAATATAATATCTGTTCAGAGTTGGTGAATGAATTTGGTTAAATTTTGTAGTTTATAATGACAAACCTGTGACGTCCATCAACAGATTGAGTTTGTGCTTGTGTTTCCAGTGTTGCACAGTTTGATGGGAGCAAAACTCAAGCATCTGGATCCATCAGTACAATGCAGTGACAACTTGATGACTCTGAAGGTCAGACGGGTAGGAGCTCCTCACGTTCTTGTGAATAGTGGTAAGTTTCGAAGTAAATTGTTTTTCAATGCTGGAACGCACGACGCTGTCACCGTTTCAACATGGTTCTAATGACAAACAGGTGTGGGACCTCTTACCCCTCTGTCTCGAATGTCCTCCAGCTGTGGCTCCTCTGTGAAGAGGTCCCGCAGGCATGTGGCTTTTGCTGCACCCTACCACAGCTGCCATGTCACCCAACAGGTAAGGTTCATTTCTTGTGTTGATAGTCATAGTAACTAATTTGGTCTTTTAAAATAATCTGCAAACATGCAAGTCTTAGTCTGTATGGATACCTGCAATTGAAAGTATATTTATAATTTGGTCTTAACAGCACTCCCTGAGTGAATCTACTTTTGTTAATTACCTCTCCCCAGGACGTTATTTTATGATGTCACCCTTGTTTCTTGGTTTATTTGTCAGCAGGATGATACAAAAACTAAAACGATTTCCACGAAACGTAAGAGGTTGGGCAATGGGACTAGAAAGGACCCCATCAAGCTTTGGTGCAGATCAAGACACGTTTTGTTTTATTTTTTAAAATCACTTTCTTTAACTTGTAGGGCATTTTATAAAATTCTCACCAATTCCCCAGTGAATAACTGATGGATCTTGATTTAAAAGAACAACTCAGACATAGTGGGTAATTCAGTTGAGAATGGTAGCTTTGTCACCACCATCTTTTAACTGACCTAAACTTTTTTACTTTCTTTGCCCCTTTTTTCCACTAATTTTTTTTATTTTTAATATCACAGGGTGGTGACTATGTACTACCACTGCGTTTATGGGGGAAACCCATGACCATGTCCTGCCCTGCTGTGCTACCACCACCTTCTGTTTCCTGCTTCCCAACTGGAATGGTGGTGAAGATTGGGGGTATTGCAGCAAATGAACTCAAAGTAAAAGGTAGGTGACTTGACATATTGCTATTTTCTTGATTTACAGAATGCTTCTGTCAGTTTTCTAATTTGATATGAAAACTGTTGCAGTCTCTGGTGCATGGGTGTCTCTGTCATCAGTCTGTGGCAGTTGTGGAATTGCTGTTGACTCGTTATCTGGAGGATTGACACTCACTGCACCCTACAACAGAGGCCTGTGCATAGAGATCAAGGTATTGTGGATGCCCTTGTGGTAAAACACTGAGATGCATGCATGCTTTGGATTTACCCAGTTTCTTTCCTTGCAGGATGAGGAGTATTTGCTTTCTCTTCTCTTGGTGGATGTGGAGCTCTTAGTCACATGCCCCTTATTATCTGAAATTAAACCAACCACATCAACAACTACACCCCCTAGTGACAGTAGTCCAATCTTGCAGTTCCCTCAGTTCCCTCAGTTTCCACAATACCCAGTATTTCCTGTGCCCACTCCTCCAGCAGACACCCCTGCTCCTACCATGAGTACAGTGGCACCACTACCCCAATGGATGCAGTATCCCTCAGGTCCTGCACAGTATCCACAGTGGCCTCAGTATAACTTCTTTCCCAGACCTGTACCACCAACACAGTCTACTCCTAATAAAAACACTGCTGCTGCTACTGAGTTACCTCAGTTGCCACAGTCTCAATATGATGGGAAGCCTGATCCCCAGGTGCCTCAGTTCCTACTGCCACCTCAGTATCACTTCCTCCCATTCCCTGAACTCCCAAAGCCTCCAGAAGGCCCGCCCCAAACGGTTCCAAATCAAAAACCTGTGCCCCAGCAGCACAAACCACAACCTCTGTATCCTCAGATCTACCAGGTCCCTGTGTTGTATCCACCACCAAGGTATCCCCCTCAAAGACTAGCTACTCCATCTCCAACTGCTGCTCCTACCACCCCTGCAGCCACCACCCTCAAGCCTGCTGTTCAAAAGCCCTTTTATGTTCCACACCCTTATATGCAATATCATGCACCTCAGCAGGCTCCCATGCCTGTATTTCCTGATCCTGCAACCACACCTCTTACAAACTCAGCTCCATTTAATCAGCAAGGACACCAGCCTATGTACTATGCTGTGCCTCCATATTACTATTTCCCTTCTCACCAGAGGCCACCAAAACCTGGTAAATGGTCTGCTAATGACCCCCAGGAGCATTACAGTCTCACAGATGATAATGATGATGATGATTAACCTGGATTTGGCTTGTAAAACTGGAATAATCACTTTCCAAGGATCCTTTCCTACTTGATGGAAATCAACTGCTATGTTGCTACAGGGCTAGCAACTTGAATTTCTTGTCATGCATTTAGCAAGGATTCAAAATGTACATTTTCTTAAAGGGGAAATAAAGGGCAACTTGAGATACACAACCATTGCCTGAATATGTATGTTTATTTGTTGTCTTATCTGAAGTATTGGTAATTAAAGACATTCAGGGGTGTGACTCAAATCTCCAAATTTGGTGTCCACTGACTTAAAAACCATGAAAAGAGCCCACTACAATTTCTACGAAACAGTGACTTCTTCAAACTAATTGTTTTGGCCTTCTTGTGAAGCTCCATGATATCAATAAGAGGCAACAGGGCAAGTATACTTTTTTGGTTTTTGTTTGTTTGTATTTTGGAGTATGCTTTTTGAGGGGTATAAAAGATTTCTTCAATGCTGAGTTTTGACCCTTGTCAAAAATTCAGGTTCCTAGTCCAGGGGTTGAAATGCAACTATAGAGGGCTAAAAAGCTTTTTATTAATCTATTATTTAATTTACATCATCATGAATCATGTATTTTTGTTTTAATCCACTAATGTATTAATGGCTTAAGCCTAATTGTTTTCCAACACCTTGGCCACACTGCTTGGAGTAAAATTCAGGATGGTTTGGTTGCATTGAAATGCTCCAATATAAATGTTGTGCCAAATACCTAATCAGTAAAACGTTTAGTTTTTTTTTGTGTGGACTGTAACTTCCCTTTAACCCTTAAATAACTAACATGATCCCAGCAGCATCAATTATACCAAAGTCCCCCTAATGCACGATCATTTCATCTTTTAGTGATAATCAGTGTAGTGCACCTGTGTTTACTTTAGTTTGGTTCAGCTTATTTCGAACATTTTTATAAGTCTGAAGAAAAAAAACATTTGTTAAATAGAAATCAGCAACGAAAACAACTTAACAACAAACATTCCGTCACATGAATGAACATAGATTCATATGTTAATATTATGATGCACGTCAATATGGATCATGTGCGTGTCTCTCGCGCATCTCGTCTCACGTGACATTGTCTCAGCCAATACGCGTTCGTCTTGAAACACTTGTGCTGGTTTTTGTTTTTTTGTTTTTAATGAAAGTATCATCTACTTATAAACAGTTATTTTATTGTAGACTTATTCACGTACGATTACATTTTAAAACCTGCAGCACGATCCACGCACAGCGCCGGATCCCTTACAGTCTCCTCGGTGCAAACACAACCACAGACGAACACCCAGTTCTCAAACACAGCAACCGACCGGACCGGCTCCTGATGCGCTCCGCCGGTGAGCTGCCTGTGTGCGGCTCAGCTGTTCTGACGTCGAGCACGCTATTTGACGTCACCGTGGGAGTGTTCCGCCGTTGGGAGAAATGAACGGTCATCAACACAATCCTCTCCACGCTCATGTAAGTTCACGCTGGCTAAACACTCGTCCATCGTCCTCCGCGAGCTGCTCGTTGAATGAATCGCGTGTCCGAGGCCCTCGGCCCTCGCACGGCTCACGGTCGGTGGACAGGGGGGGTGGTTTACGGTTGGTTGTGTCGCCGTTCCCCGGTCGCCTGTAGCGAACCGTGGCTGAGGAGATGGTTTTTTTTTTTTTTTTATTAGCTTGGGAGGCTAACCGGGATGCTAACTGACAGCCTGAGTGGACGGATGGCGAGTAAGCGCCTGTTTTGAGCCCCTGGACAGCCTGGGTGGGCGACGTTAAGTGTATTTACATGTGAGTGATGCTTTTATTTTTTTATTGCCGTTGCTGTGTAATTACCGTGTTCAGGTTCCACCTCAGAGACAACACCCAGATCTGACAAGCACATATTTTATTATGCCACAGCGGTGAAACCAGGACATGCTAAATGAATGACAGTATCAGCTGACTGAGCAGACCGTCGTCAGGAAGCACTGGATGTTGTTACCTATAGAAAGAGGAGAGATGTTGTCTGGTGCAAACCTGCACTGGAGGAGCTGTAGCTCAACACCAGCCTGAAACACAAGACTGCTGAGGTGTGATTAAAGCCTGGTGGTGTGTGACAGATGGTCAGCAACACATCTCCAATCCTAACTCCCCCTCTTTGAGCCTCTCATACCTGTGAGGAAAGTTTCACAGAGGTGGACTAAAAGAGCTGCACAGGGACAATAAAGAGACACGTTTAGAAGAAACCAGTTTAGAATCAGGAAGCAGAGTTTACAACTATTTTAAAAGAGGTCAAGTGGAGATAAAAATGAAATCTGTACAAGAAGTAAAAAATAAGTTGAGGGAGAAAAGCAATACAAATGAAGTAGCTAGAACTGTGTGAAGTGATACAAAAAGAATATGATACAATAACAGCATGGCCTTGTAAAATAGTTTATTTTAAGTAACTTGTGGATTCAAAAAATGTTTCAGTTTGGTTTTAAAAACTGCATTAGATGGGCCATTCTTCAGACCATCCGACAGCTGGTTCCAGCGCTGCACTACATCACAACACTGCGATGACTGTCTCATGTCCGGTTTGTCAGCAGTATGGGTTTTGAGGAAGTTGGTAAGATGTAATATTTGTAGAAGAACTAGTTATGACAAATGGATGCCATGTTATTCATGGCTCTGTCAATAATGTGTGCGTGAAATTTGGTTACGACGATTCAAGATACAAGTCCAGATTAGGATGCACGCAGTTTTATGGTGAAAAACCATAAACCCAGTAATTACTCTCATGAGTCTGGTCTTTTACTTTTTAATTTTACTGGCATCAGAATCAAAAATACTTAATATATCCCTGGGAGGGAAATGGGTTTTGTGACAGTCGCTTCAGCCAAAAGTAAAAATATACACAGACCAAGACAATAGCAATAAATATAAAGGCAAAATATAAAGTATAAGAGTTTGTAAAAATATGTGCATTATAATACAGTATGTAAAAAGTATATTCAACAATAAAGCTTATCAATATATTCAATATTCAAACAGCAGACTTTAAATATGAAGTAGGGCCGATATCTGCAGCTGTGGAGGAACTGGAGGCCAGTCTGGCTCTGCACAATCAATATGAGACACTGATGCCTCTGCAAGTAAAGCAAACGCGGCACTGTTACCTCGCCCCGCTCAGCTGCACCGGTGTGCACCCTGAGGTGAAACGAACGCCCCCCCGGTGCACCGCCTTAGCCTGTAGTGCTAGCAGCTGGAGGAGCAGAGAAACCATCAAACTGAGAGCAGCGAGTCTCCATCACTTAATATCACACAACGATTCGAGACAACCGACAATTTAGCGATAAACTACATTGACACTTTCAGCCAATATGTCTTATTGTTGTGTTTGTTAAAGACCGGGCCTACGGACGTTAGCCGGCGAGCTAATGTCATCCTCCTCTTATCTCGAGCTAACGTTAAGCTGCTCGGGCTCAGACTGTTTGCAGTAACACAACATAACTCACAAATCCTGACAAACGTGTATGATTGACTTCAGCATGTATGACCATTTCCACCACGTGTGGAGACACTGAATGCACCTGTTACACTGGGACATCCCAATAACATGTAACATGCATGTGGACAGAAAGCTCTTTGTATTGTTTTACTTACTTGCCTCGACAATAGGAAACTTTATTTGTAGCAACAGCAGCTCTTGAATAGGATGGTGGTTGTAAGGACCCCGGCTGTTATATGAAGGAAGGGATCTTTGTATTCGAATATTTCTACTGTATATTATTGTGTTAACCAATTGTTACATTATAACATTTGTGGCTGTGTGAGTGTGTCCTGCAGATACCCTCTGGAGAGGTGGGCTATTTGGCAGCATTAATTAACATTAGACAATTAATTAAGCTAACAGGCCTTTGGGGGCCTGTGCTGTACAAAATTACAGTGTATTTTATTTTGCCATTTCATTTACGAACCCTCAGACTTGCGTGAGCTTGGTTGTTGTTATTCTGAAATCCCTTCCCGTGTCATCGGACCTAAATATGTGTTCGATCAATTGGCTTTGTTCATGTAGACTCGGGGTGATGTTTAATGCCATGTTATATGAACACTTTCAATTCTAAGTTGAGAGCAAACCCTACTGATTTGGTTCTTGAACTTATCTCACCTGTAAGGTACCCTGTGGAGAATTGAATGTAAACCTGAACTGGATGATTGAAAGACATATTACTGCCATATAAACATAGTTGTATCAAAATGTGAACAAATGCCTAACAACACATTTGGAAGCCTTTTGATTTGATCAGTATGTATGTGCATGCACTTGATTGATTTATGTCCAATATCTTCTCTTCTTATAGCTCAGCTGTGGTCTATGTTACCTCCTATTATCATTGGTTTATCTTCAAGATTCTTCACTCTGTTTGTCCTCTAATATCGGACTTTGTCTGTTTGCTGTTTGGGGCTGCGATCAGCGACGTCCTGCTGCTGGAAGCAGGGTTGAAGAGAGTTGACTTCTCTTGTAAAATAATGTGTCAGTCATCAGAACACGTGCTTGTTTTTTATTTATTTTGGTTCCCATATGCTGTCACATGTGCAACGGCTCGTCAGCCCAGGGTCCACACAGACATTGCTTTACTGTGTCACCAGTGGGCAAAAACTCCTCAGGGTACCTTTAACATTTAGCATTGGTCGCGCTAACATAGATGGTGCAGAATCACCATATCTAGAATACTTTGTCTACCCTCCTACTCACATGTTTACTGTTATCTGTCTGTGATTTGTTTTATTTTCATTTATTTTATTTTATAGTTTCATTTTTTCACTTTTTTTCTTAACTCTGTAAAGCGGCCTTGAGTACCTTTAGAGGTGCTATACAAATTTAAGCTATTGTTATTATTTATGTTTGAAAAAATGGTCAAATGCCAGGAAAAGATCTGCATTGCCTTCACACGCTTTTTATTTTTCTGTTTTTTTCCTTTGCAGCATGTGATTTTTCTAAATGTCCTTGGAAACAGCTGACTTAAGTTTGACAGCTATCTCATTAGAATTACCCAGAGAGCGTGGTGCAGGGAATTTGCTTGGATTACAAAGCCCTTTCCTGTGTTAATAGACCCACACTTCATCTGCTGATGAACACATATAGAGGTGTTTGTCTGAAGATGGATTCTTGCTGTGTTGAGCATCTCTTTATCATAATAAAATCTTGCTTCATTTTACTTGAT